GTGCCAATACCATAGTTTTCTCAGGTGATAAGCATTGCAATGGCCTGTGAGTCATTGCAAATGACGATGGTACAAGATGCATAAATTTGTGAAGTTCGCACCTCTTGCGCCAGATAACTCTATTTCGCTCCAGACTTAAAATGTCATAACGATATTGGTACGCTTATGCCGCCTCTCATCCTTGTCAATCTTCTAACATCTAGCTCTCTATGAGTGGCCTTACATGTCTCATACATCTCGACTTTTCTAACGCTCATAGGAATATGGTTTGCAACTGTTTGACGATGACAATAGTGATTAGTGAACTTTTTGATCTGCAGGACACTAGCAGACCATATCTTCTAAAACCACGTTAGGAATGACATGCTATCGATGACAAGCTTGTTGATTTCAAGGAACGATCATCCGTGCTAGCATTTATACTCGTGAAACCAAAAATTGAGACTTGATGTTAGGGACAGGAGGATTCAGCGGTCTCTTGCACAATTTCGATATTCCAACAGGGGTTGTGGACGGGCTTATTTATGTCTTGTGGGTCTATGTGTTAGCTGGGCATGGCTGAAGACTTGCATTAGCAGCCAGCTAGCATTTTTCATTCATATTGGAGAACGACTCACAATTTGTTTGCGATTCAAATTTCCTCCATTCATCCCAGTAGTAAGAGATTGAATGTGGAGTGGAAAACTATACCGTCATCTTCAGAGGAAGCTGGCTAAACGGGCTCGCCATGAAGACAGACTCCGGACCGAAGGCCGTGGTTCCTTTGATTTCCTATCTAAGAAGTAGGCAACCATGCACTGCTGCCAGGTTCCAGCAGGTGCCTGACACCTGGCAAGCATTTTCACTGCCAGGTATGTCATTTGTTGTCATATATTGACATATACCGCCAACTGTGGTAGCTGAGTGCCACTGAACAAAAAGGATTTATAGGTACTAAAACATGGATACTACTTTTGTACTGACCACAAGAATAAAAGTTAAAGTGCGGCATTGCGTAATGCGTATGCTCATTGCTCACCTCCACATGAGGTCAATGAATATTGTGCAAGTTCCTGCCGATCGGTGCACAGTTACCTGTACCTTTGTTGTCTGACACGTACAACGGTTATTGCACTGGTCAGTACGCGGCTGTTATACTGGTACCGATGACATCAGGACCGCACGACCAGTCAAAGTACTAACTGACGATTCACAGGCTGAGAGTTTCAGTCACCCGAGATTGTCCGGCTATCATGAAGATAAACCAACATCGTCTTTGGCATTGATTCCGGTCCGTCGGCAGGCTGTTCAGCATTTTGCATCACAACTGCTTCACTTCAACCACTTACCGCGAGCCAACTGTAATGTCTTCATTTCTATATCAAGTATGCATAACGCATCTACGTTTGAGAAGCACGGCCCACATGTCTGAATTATGAAAAAATTGCACAAGTGCAACGCGCTGTATCGTGGAAATTGAAGGAATAGAAGGCACTCGTAAATAGATGCCTATGATTAGCGTTGTTCCCTAAGCACCGACTGAAAGGACATTTTGATAGAAGAAGGATGCCGATGAAATATTAAGAAAATGTTCTGATAAAAAGTGCACAGTAAAGGATGTCTTGTTGGCATTTTACACATTTTAACTGCCACTTTTATCACTGCAATTTTTAATAATATATATTTTCTCATCTATGTCTTCACTTCCTTCTGTGTGGTCTGATACCACTAAAAATTACCAAGTGGAATGCCCAATGTATCATATTTGATACAAAATTTATTTCCGAAATTTGAACTGCGAAAAAATATTTGACTCCAGATTTCGAACAAGGGACCCAAAATGAATCATATGTCACAAGGTGCTAATTTTAGGAACCGTGGAACTATGTGTGGGCATTAGAGGGTTAATAACAACTGAAAAGTGATATCACGGATTTTAGTTAACTTCCCGGAGTCGGAGTCGAGGCAGCTTGACCGACTCCGACTCCGACTCCGACTCCTGGCTGCTTGCCATGACTCCGGGCGACTCCGACTCCGACTCCGACTCCGACTCCGAAACCCTGGTTTGAACCCGCTCCGCCAAACAGTCACCCGAAAATAGCATTAAGTCCCAAATTTGTCCGAAACGTAAATTTCCCAGTATAAGTGCCCTCACGGGTGCACGTGGCGCGTGCCATCCCTGCACCGCACACCATTCGATAGCCATTTCGATTCTCTACACGATACCCCGTGGCGATTGGGCCCACGGTTACCGAGATACTGCACGGGGACCGGACCAGTGTCTGGCAAATTTAGTCATTTTCGCCCGATTTTGCAAGCCGATTTATACATACATGTAAAGTCCATAACGCGAATTTGCACTTTTTGAGCACGCGTCATGTGCTCGCTATCAATCCGATCGAGCTGAGACCCTCAAAGGCACGTTGCCCATTTAATCTATAAGTTGCGCAAATTTCAGCGCACTTGGCGCAACGGTCGGGCCCGTACCCCACGCTAAGTAACACCATGCCGGGACCTCGATAGCAGTCAGAATCTACGTCACCACATCACCACGCCACAACAAACCCGGCCCATGGCAATACATGTCCCATATGAGCGCGTTAACCCTCGCCGGCACAGGCCATTCCGGACATTTTGCGTCCTTCGACGGCACAAGAGGTACGACCCCTTCGTGACGGCACAAGGTGGTACGACCCCTTCGTGTTTGGCCCATGATCGAGCTAGAGCTTCGCGGGAAATACGAGCGTGTTCCCCGTGACGAGAGGAAGCCGACGATACCCCATTTTAAGGTTCTTGGTCATTGGTTGACCTTCCAGGTCAGGTCAATGACCGAAAAATCGGGAAAATCGGGACCTGTTAGAACGTCGTTAATTGTGGCTGCTATAGGGTTTTTAGGGGTACTGATCATGAATAGTTATCATGTTAGTTTTGATCACAGATGATGTCTTTATGCATTTAAGCCAGGTCAGGTCAGGTCAGGTCAGGTCAACCAGTAGGGGTCCTGCCGGGTATTCGTAGTACCTACGTGCCAGCCGCCTCTGGCAGCTTCGTAACATGTTACGAAGGCACCAAAACTACTTCGTAAATGTTCAAATGGTTGCTAAATTCGGATTCAGCTCCAAAAACTAGCCTGGAAACATGTATAATTCGAAAAAGTACCGAGGTCATCATAGGTCAATGACCTGACCTGACCTTCAGGTGACCTTGACATCCACCCTAATGCATGGGAGCAGCATCAACTCACATGTTTGAATGCTTGAAACCACGAAAAGACTGCAAACGCGCGGCTAATGCGAGCCGGCATACGCCGAATCGCGATTCTGGCCAAACATGGTCTCGGAAAGTAGGTCACAGGTCAAAGGCCATTTGGGTCAAGGTCATGAAATTTCTAGGGTAGGTGTGATCAACGCGAGGGTACTGAAAGTTTGGTCGCGATCGGCCGCTTTTTACCCGAGTTATTCGCGAAAAAACCTTAGGGGGGGGGGGGGAGGTTGCATCATCCCCTCCCCCTGTGCCGGCGAGGGTCAAAACTGCTTGTGAGCGAAATCACGTAATGAAGAAGAATAAAGCACAATCTACTACAGCAGCCAATAGATGACTGAGTTAGGACAGGCACGTGGGACTGCTTAAATCTTGTCCGACAGAAGCAGACAACAGTTCAGTTTGCATATATGCTATGCATATTGCAGTAGGGGCACATTTCGGCCTCGAAAGATACGAATTCATACGTCATAGTAACATATTTCTGTCATGGTCAATTCATGTGGAAATTGAACACCGGGTGATTACCGAACTATTGTTCTATCAAAATTTTCCGATTCAAACTCGCTCAGGGTTATCATGCAGGTAAAGGGGGCCCGCTCAGCAGAATGCGTATGAAATATGGAAAGATTCTGAAAAATGGGTGGGGGCCCGCACACTAGGGGGCCCGCTTTGGAGGCGATGACCCCCCCGAAACGAAATCCTGGCTGCGCCACTGAGCTCGCTGCAGGGACCCACTTCAAAAGGCGCCGCCGCTGCCGGCCGGGCTTCGGCGGCGCGCTGGGGCGCGTGGCGGCGGCTCCCCCGACTCCGCTGAATGAAGACCGAGCAGCGGCGAGCCGCACAGGGGGCCGGGCTGCAGCAGCGGGCAGAGGGGGAGCTGAGCCGACCTCTGGCTCACAACGGCCGGCTCACCGCTCACCTTTGGCTCACCAACCGCCGGGTCGCCGCTGACGGCGGCTGGTAGCATGGACAATGGTGGATGGTTATAGGCCGCCGTCAGTAATGATTTTTCAATGGGTGGGCAACCACGGGCCGCTCGTCACCAGGCACTCATGAGCGCACTTTTAGTGACCACGGGCGTTTTTTGCCCAAAATTGTACAAATTTTAGGGAGGTGTGTGCAATGGGGAGCCGGGAGGGCTTCCACTGCAATAGCCCAGCCCCTGTGTGAGAGTTGTCCGTCTCGTCCCGCGTCCGCCTATTGAGCCGGAATCGGAAGGTGCTAACTGCTAACTGGTGGGTGGTGGGTGAGATATTGACTTAGGTTGTTCTGAGCAGTAAGCATAGGGTATAGTTTGATATTCTGGGGATATGAAATGTCCTAAAAAAGAAAACGTGGCCCCAAGGATCTATCCCACAATCCACATGGGATCCGCAGCCCGCCTGGACAACCTTAGTTTCCATGCCTTCGCTCGTGAAGGTGAATGCTAGCTTGACTCTTAAGTTTTGATAAGGAGCATTATTTTCATAAAAATATACTAAGAATTCATCGCAAGTATACAATGCGATGTTTTACTAAAAATGATCAATTTTTTTTCATTTTTTACGATCCAACGGAGTGAAAACATACAAATATTTAATATGGTGGTGGCTTTTTGGTGATTTAGCGCCATTCCTGGCGCTTTTTTGCGCCACTTATACTAGCCTGTGGTGATGATTACTCACTACTGTGGTGATGCCTTGTAAAAGCTGCTTAGTTTGCAGCGAGTTGCTAGGCAACAGCAAGAGAACTTTGCTTACTGAGTTTTTGAGCACGCTGTCACTACTTGAATGTTGGCGCGCGTTGTTCATGTTTACGCAAAATTCAGTGATAAAATTTTCTGTAGAAAATAACCAGGGTATTTTAAACTTGAATTATTATTATCTGCTCGCTTCATCCTAGAAGGCAAGTGTTTTCTGTCAATTACCAGATGTTGTATAGGTCCTGTTTTGCTCTTTATAAAAATGCAATAGAATCTATTTAGTAATAACCTTACCTTACCTTACCTTACAGTATCGGGATTTTTAGGCTTAGAGCCTGTCGTACCCGATCTCATCGAGCTCCTGGTATTTGGCTTGTCCAGGATCAATCGGAAGTTAGTATATAGTTTTGGTAAATGTCAAGTTTAAGTCCTAAGAAGATTTCATTGATTAATTTTACATATTTATACATTATCTGACATCCTGAATCCAAAAATGATACTCATATGTCTCGCAAATAAAAGAAAAAAACATAATCAAACCTGACCTAACCTTACCTACTTACCTATAACCTACCAACCTACAACCTACAAACCTACCCTAACCTAACCTAACCTACAAACCTACCTACCTACAACCTAAAACCTACAAACCTACAACCTAACCTAACCTAAAACCTAAAATTTTTGCTGTTTCATATTCGTATCAACAGCGTCACAATTGTAGTTAGGACCTAAACTTGACATATACCTAAGTTTTATTATTTTCCCCCTAACTCCTGATCAGTCGATAGCCAGGTGTATAGGAAATGTTTCCAGATTCCATATTCATCGTTGACCCCGCGTGGCCCGAATGTCCACCGTCTTAAGTTGAGACGTTAGCTTCATACTATCTATGTCTGCCTCGATAGTGGACTTAAAGGGGGACCCTCCCACCTTCAAAAAAGTTAATGAATTGGCATGAAAGTGATGTCGCTCGGTTCAGAAAGAGCAAAAACGAATATCTACCAAATTTAATTGAAAAATATTCACCGGTTTTCAAGATATTAGACTTTTACTTTTGTTTACTTTTTGGGATCTTTGCTGTTCCTAGCGACTTTATTTGAAAGTGTGGCATTTGTTGCGCGCAAAGCAGCATATACCACCGCGTGCTACAAAACGTTTTAGTCAAACATTTAACGGACGTTCGAAAGCCTGATGACGTCATCAGACTCCCGTAATGGTTAAGAGATAGGGACCATGCTGGTCCCACCCTGCAAGTAAAGGGAAGAAATTTCTTGAACACCATAAAGCTGTGGGGGTTGCTACCAGGATAAATGGTGGTTTCTGAGCCTGGCCGCAAACTTGGCTATCTCAACTCAAAACTAATGTTAAGGTGGGAGGGTCCCTTTAAGTGGAGTGGTTAGAACCGTGGCCTATCACTGGGAAACCCGAGTTTGATTCCTGCTGACTACAGGAGCTTTAGAAAGGTATGACGTATACAGCGCAACCCCACCAACATCCAGGTCCTTCTCATTCTAAGTTCTAAGAACCAATGAACACCTGACGATGGCCGGACAAGTAATTGGCCGAAACATTGTGAAGCTAGCATCTCAGCTCAAGACAGGGACGAAAGTCTGACTATTAACATCAGTGAAACATCAGCATAATGGAACAAATTTTTGTAGTTGACTTAGACTTTGGACTTTGTTTTTGATTTAGCATAGTCTTTGTTTCATAGTGTGTTAACTGGTGAATAAGTCTACCTCAACCTATTTTCTATCCCATCAATCTAAGGACAGCTAAAGGCTTGCTTGAAGGCAAGCTAAGCACTGATGGGCATGGGCATGATGGCCTGATGAGCAAAGTCACAAGGGCTGAGAATTAGTTTCATTCAAGGGCACTCCACTCAATCCATTGCTACTAGTTAATCCCATAAATATTTGTAACCATTAAGGTGTCCCAAACCCTGCTTTCTGCAGTGCTTCTGTTATGTTGTGTATTTTCTGTAAGAGATCATTTTCTGAAGGTGCTGTTTCTCTGTTCCCAGGTGTCCAAGGGCGATATGTCTGATGACGGAGATGTGGCTATAGTCGATCTGTCCAGCAGTGAGGAGACTGATGACGGGTCGCTCATAGACGCGTATCCGCCGTCCGACCCCAGCAGCCCTGTGCTGGGAACTGTCCGACCGGGACGCCAGGCCAGCGTCGATGGTGATGCGGCGGCGGCAGCAGCTGCCGGGCCGCCCCCGACTGCGGCCGGCGCTGAGCGGAACCCGGAGCCCAGTGGATCTCCGGTACCGGCGCCGCGGCCCCGCTTATCTCCGGGGCCCGAGCCACCACCTCGCGTATCTCCGGTACCGGCGCCGCAGCCCCACGGATCCCCGGCGCCGGTGGACCCGGTGGCCAGTGGCGGCGGCGCGGTGCCAGAGGTGGACCCCGATATGGAGGTTGTGCCGGTGGACGGCGCGGAGTCGCCGCCGCGCGCCGCCGACCCGCCACCCAGGCGGAGCATCGGCGCCGGCAATGTGTGGCGCGACACGGACTTTCGGTCACCAGGCCCCGCCGGACTCCGGTCACCGGGCCCCGCCGGGCTCCGGTCACCGGGCCCCGCCGGGCCCGCAGAGGGCACCGTGGAGGGCCCTGCCGAGCCTCCCGTGCCTGTAGCAGCGGTCCCTATGGCGACCGATCCAGCTGGAGATAAGAAAACACCCACGAAAGATACCGGAGGAGGTACGAAACACAGCGTCATCGGCTGGCCGTGGAACGGTTGATCTCGTTGACCATAATATAGTAGATACTTTCAGGCTCGCTTCACTGCTTAGTTGCGAGTGTAACGCACAATATTTTAGTCCAACGTATTTCATGTCAGAGTCTGTCTGTGGGCGCCACGTCACAGTCCGTCCCCATGTTTTCTGCTCTCGTTCGCTTCTTCTCAGCTTTTCATTCGTGTTTTGTGTGAGACTGTCTCACTCTATCCTCTCGCGCTATCTCTCGAAATCTGTGTACCATTCAGTGCCTCCCAACTCGCCTAGCTGATAGCTCACGTTGTGCGACAGTTTAGTCCAGAACTGCAGTGTCTGCCCGCCGAAGTTTCCCCGCCATGTCCTCAGTCTCTCCATTCTCTGACTCGCAGGGTTTCTGACCGGTGCTGACGCCCGCTCACCGGGCTCTGAGGACGGGCAGTGCTGCACCATCTGCTTCGAGTCGTGGTCCAACTCTGGCGAGCACCGGATAGCGTCGCTGCGCTGTGGCCACCTGTTTGGGAAGTCGTGCATCGAGCGCTGGCTGCGCGGACGGGAGCAGCGCTGTCCACAGTGTAACGCAAAGGTAAGCAGAGGGCGGGGTTCTCAGTAGTCACTGGTAGGTATACGTAGGTACAGGTCTCGTGGGTTTTAACGGCAGGTTTTGCACCTATGAAATTTAATATACTTCAGGCTATATATTTTCGTCGTCTTAAGCTTTTAAGTGTTGAAGATGCGATCGACTTGTTCGTTCACAAGCGGCCCAGCTGCCATGATCTTATTAAATGGCTTTATCGTGGATCGATTAGTTTCTGAGATATTAACCGGAAATGTAAAAGGGCAAAACCTACCGCTTAATCTCGCGAGAGCTGTATTTTTCTGCGATGTGAGGGGATGTCGTCTCAGGCGATATCATGCTTATGTCAGGGGAGCAGCGGGCTGCACACTGTCAGTCTGTCATTTTCGCATCAAGGCCGCGGAGAGGGTTCAGAGCGTTCCGGTGAGCTCAACGCGCACCGGGTCGTCGGTGGTTCATGACTAGAGAACATTCGTGGGATGTTGTGCTGGTAAGAATCTGATAAGGCTGGTGTGAGGTCAGGTGGCCAAATAGATAGTTTTTCGCTCGCTTTATTTGTATCTAAGTGGCAGCTTGTCCCAGCATTCGTATGAGCAGTAGCACTTTGTGTCAAGCCGCAGTTCTACTTTTAACAGTGGTCCAGTAGGCAAGGTTTCACACTACATATGCATATGCACTTTGTTCTGACTGCACCGTTTGGGCTTGTGTGCGAACCGACCCTATCTTCCGTGCTCCCAGGCGTGTCGCCGAGACGTCCGTGTCATATTCGCCAAGAGTCTGCGCGTGTTGGACACCACCGACCGAGACAGAGCGATGGAGGAGCTGGACAGAGAACGGGAGGCCAGGCGCAGGCTCGAACTCGACTATGCCGTAGTGCAGGTATGCGGGTTTGAATGACATGCTCGTGGATGGGCGTAATGGTGGTTTGTGAATCTGGCTAGATAGAAATTAATTTGTCGCATTGAGCCGGGGTGAAATCGAAAGGAATCTTGGAATTAACGACGAGCAGACTCGACATGTGGTATGCTGGATTCGCTTTGTGGCACCATAATGGTGCCACAAAGCGGCCTGTGCTCACTCCAATTTAATGCCACTATTTGTGGTATTCGCTCACCGAAAGGATCGCGCTATGACCATGGGCATTGTTGCCAGAGGCTGCTGCCGCTGAGCATACGTGTCAGAGTTGCTGAACACGCTCGCCGGCTAAGTTGCAAAGTAAGCATACTAGAGCTACTAGATTACCGCAAATGATGGACCGATGACTGACTAGTGTGGTTCGCTTAGGCTGGCCGGCGATACAGTTCTCTTTATTCATTGCAGCGTAAATACCCCGAAACATTGGTATATAGGATTCACCGAGCGGTCAGAATACAGACTGAAGTGTCTTCTGCCATCACCTGCCGACCTTCCTGCCTCTTACCTCTCCGGCAGGTCAAGTGTCAGATGAAGGAGAATCAGATCGAGAAGCTGCAGGCTGAGCTGCGCGCGCTGCGGGACCGAGTAGGTGGCGGCGGCGGCGGGGGTCCGGAGAATGGAGCTGAGGGCAGGGGCGGCTCCCCTGGACCTGGAGAAGCAGAGGCGACCGCCAAGCTCAGCCTCCACTGTAACCTGGAGGTGAGCCGGCCCGGCGGCTGCCGGGTGCTCGAGCACAACGCCTGGCTGGGCATGCTGGTGGCCTCACAGCCCAGTCAGAACTCGCTGTTCCCTGGCCATGGAGTTAGGAAGATCAACACGCTGGACATGCGTCCGCTCCAGTTCGTCTCGCTGCACCAGAAGCAGGTGAGAAGGTGGTGAGAGAGGCGGCGAGACCGCGGGCGGTGGTGCCGCAGGTCCGCGGAGGGGCAAACGTTGTTCGTGCTGCCTGCTATTCCACATTCATGCTAATGTAACTGCCTGTTCTTCATTATGGCCGCAGCATACCAGCAATTATCAAAAATTGCTTATTTGTTTACTTGATTCACAGTCATTGCATTTGTGAGAACTGACTTCCCTTATCAGTGATCACTTATCGTTGACACGACTGTCCGCGAAACTTGCCATATTTCCGGCGTCCTGGCGTGAGAGTAGAACCGTCCGTGACGGTGACTGACTGTAGCTGACGCCTGACAGTGACGGCTTGCGTGCCACTGGCAGATTCGTGACGTGCGCTTCAGTCCGGAGCAGCGGGATCTGCTGCTCTCCGTCTCTCTGGATCGCCGCGCCAAGATCACAAACGTGTGCGGAAACACGCTCGTGCAGACGTACGAGTGCGCGGCGCCCGTCTGGAGCTGCGCATGGGACCGCGACGCGCCGCACACGTTCTACGCCGGCCTGCAGAGCGGCGCCGTGGTGGCGTTCGACACGCGCGCCGGCTGCGAGCCGCTGATGCAGCTGGAGGGCGGCTCGCCGGTGGTGGCGCTGCGACACGTGCCGCGCGGCGGACAGGACGGCGCTGGGGGTCTGCTGGCCTGCCGGCTGGCCGACTGCGCCCTCCAGGAGGTGACCGGTCGGCTGCGCGCGCACCCGCTGCCGCTGCACGGGCCGTTCGTGTCGGCCGACTTTGACGAGCGCACGCGGCACGTGCTGGTGTCGAGTCGGCCCAGCAGCCGGCAGCCGCACGCGCAGCACGCCGTGTGCCGTCTGCGGCGCGCGCCCGGTCCGCCGGGGGAGCCGGACGCACCGCCGCTGGCTGCTGAGGTGGTGCAGGTGTTCCGCGGCGGCACCAGCCAGCGCGTGCTGTCGCGCTCGGCGCTGGTGCCGCACCCGCTGCGGCCGGACGCGCCGCTCGTGTGCGCCAGTCAGGAGACGGCGCAGGTGACCCAGCTGTGGGACCTGGCGTCGGGCGAGTGCGCCGCCACACTGGCCGCATCGGAGCCGGTGCTGGACGCCTGCCCGCTGACCGCCCAGGACCGGCACTTCCTGGCGCTGCTCACAGAGAAGACGGTCAAAATGTACCGGTGGGAGGTGACCTGACCGGCCGGTCCGCTCAGAGGTAGGGGGCGCCACACCGCGGGACCAGGCGGGTCCACGTACCTGATTTTACTGCCAGTGCTAGGCTGTGCACGCGTACATTGTTATTGTGATAGTGAGCGAAGGAAATATACATTGTCATTCCTTGAGTGGTATATTCTCATGTCGACACACGTCACACTGCAGCAGCGTGGAGTATATTGCTAGAAAGCGGCGATGCCGAGGTCGGTCGGCCCGGATCAGCCCTAGTCTGAGGTCCGGTCGGCTCGGCGGTCGGACGGTCAGCACCACGCAGCGTCGCCCGGTCTGTGCTCGTATTCTGAACCCTCGCCATACACCCGCACACACACGCACAGACCGAGAGCCTGCCCGGCCTGCATCCCTGGCTCACCCCGCCTGCGCCCGCCACCAGAGCCTTTCCACACTGCCGCGACACCGGGTCCTGCACAAACTCAACCGCCGCCCAGTACAAACGCGCCGCGCACTGGAAAATCGGCCAACAAAGCAACAAACTACCGGGACCGGTCCATGTCCCGCTCAGAGATCGGGGACCCGCCGGCTGAGGTTGAGCCCCAGCGCGCTGACGTCGCCGCCGGCCCCGCTGGGACGGTCACAGTCCCAACCGCGCGGGCCGGCGCGGCATACCTGGTAACAATGGCTAAATTATACACATTACACGCTCTGGTGATGGCCTGTGCGGGAACTTTGGGTCGAGCATATTATGACTATTGGGTTTTTGTATCTCTGGTTGCCTGTTAGTGCACGCTAGTGCCGTATATGTGGTTAGTTGGCCACGAATCAAGTAAGTCATGTTGCGCCCGTTCACTGTATGGTTCATGCACGTAATGGTCAACGATTCAACTCCAGTGAATCCTATACATAAAATGGTAGAACTTAACACGATATTTTCATTCAACTAGACATGTGCTTATAGATTAAGCAAAAGAAGTCAATTCATCGCAGTGTGCGCCATGATAAAAGTACGCCACAATCAATAGGAAAGGTCTTCAAATACAATGCTTAGATAACTGCAAATTGAATATAAAATATTTTCTCTCGAGTAGTAACTGAACTAAACACTTGGCTAAACACTTTCAATGATCTCCGCATCATTACTGCAACTCTTTGACACACACTCAATTGCACGCCTGACCACGAACCAGGACATGTGTAGCTCCCCCGCTGCCAGTTCCTTGTGCCGGCCACCCAGCGCAGACCACTGCCACTACACACGGGATTCGGCTCCTCCTTCAGCGTCCGCCAGGCCGGCTGGTCCGGCCACAGTTCGGCTCGCGCACATGGCACCCCAGCACCTGCCGCCGTCCCCAGCACTGCACTCGTCGGCGCCCGGCCGGCCGGCGCGCTGTCCTTAAAGCTCGGTGTGCACACTGCAGCGGGCGGCGGCCGTCCAGTGTGCGCTCGCCCGGCCGCGCCGGCACGGCAGAAGCGCGCGCTAGTCGGGCCGGTGCAGCGGCAGCTTGGGAATGAACTCGATCAACAGGACCTGCCGGAGTGCACAGGACGGAGACGGGTGATAAACGGTGGCCCATGAGCAGAACGCTGATTGAGGTGCAGGCAAGTCGGTGGTACTTATTCGGAAGCGGCAGTTCATAGCAAACAAGAATGCACATGGACGACTGATTGCAGGCCGGCGTCTTGGAACACTCTCGCTCTCGCTCCTGACAGGGATAACTCAGTGACAGATGCCACTCACCAGCTACCAACATTCAAGCTAGACTTTGACCTCGTTCGCGCGGAGTTTGGATTTCTATCCCATCACTAGCGCCCTCTCAAACCTCTGCTTCACGCATTGATTTCGAGGCAGACCTGAACAAAACCTGATAAACCCTTTTCCCAAGTTTTAGTGTATACAAGTTCACAATGTACACGTGTATATGTTGACTGATGATGCAAGACCGTTAAGTTACTCACGTATTCTAGCATCGTGGAGTTATCACAGTGATGCCTGGCCAGCTTCCAGTGAAGGCCCAGCTTGTGATATAGGTTCGTGTTCTCCCATTCTAACGCCTTCTCCAGTGAGTGTTTCGTCTGAAATGGATCGCAGTGTCAGCACAGCTGCACATATACATCAGCAGCACGGGGCACTTCGCAGTTCCCTGTGGTTACCGGCACTTTTATCTACTGAGCACTAACAAAACCGCCAGTGTGTTCGTCGTCACAGGAAAAACCAGGAGTCGGGAAACGCACAAAGGCCGGTTTGTACAGCACAAAAGATGAATAGAGCTCAGCAAAACATAACTCCCGAAGTCAAGTCGCAACCTCGTGGTTTGATTCAGTAAATTTAGGGGTCAACCTTAAACCTATCCCTATTATTCTCTGACCGGGCATAGATCGAACAGATGATGCAATAACCCGCGCCCCACTCATGGGGCTCCTGGATTTCCACGCCAAGCCTGGGGGAGGGGGAGGGGTTTTGTTCTAACTCGGCTCCTGTGCCAAGTGGCGACGCACAGTAGGCGGGTTCGAAAGAGTATGAAAAAAACTAAATTACTTTGGCCATTTTCAGGCCAAGTCAAAGCTCAGGTCACCAGGGGCCATCGAAGGTCAAATTTCGCCTTGTTGTGCGTTGACAGACCCCGTACCCGTTTGTTGAGGCAGATGACTGGCCAGAGTGAGCAGCCGAGGGTGCAGCAGCAGCAGAGGCAGCCACAGAACAGCCACTTGGCGCTGACGGGCATCGTCTTTTTCAGCACGCCGTTGATGCGCTGCACGGTGGCGCGGTACTCCTCGGGCGCCACCTTGGCCGACAGCGCCGACGGAAACTCGGACGAGAACCGGTTGTTGAGGCCGAACCTGCCGCCGATAGTAAACACACTCGTCACTACAACACGGCGAATTTACTGCAGCTTTACCCACTTCTTACCTAAGCTCTGCTCAGTATCAATAATGGCAGCAGTGTAATGACAAAGGCAAGACAGGTGATGGGGCTTCATTCTGCCAACCAATGTTGAATCTATATCAATAATGAAGACATCTATGAGATTGTTATGTTCCAAATAAATAATGTTCTATCAGCAACAGAGTGACAAGGCAGCTATCGCCATATGCTCTATAAACTGTTAACTTCTTGCATTCAATTGCAAGGGACACCAGTTTATATAGCCTTGGGACACCCACTATGCAACCATTCATATTATGATTTTTTTTTGTTAAAGGTTTATTCTAACTATGTGCAGTTCAATAGCAAAAGCCTGCTTTCTAGTACCTACTCATTTTTATTTTTAGTTTAATTCATATTCATTTTGACACTTATGACTGTTGGTCATCAAAACTCTTCACTTTATGAAAGATCATGATTAAAATTATGTTCATAACAATTGTGAATCAAAAATGAAAACATTATATGTGGTTTTTCATGTCTAGTTAAAACATAGAAATCTAAGAAATCTAGGAATAGAAAAAACATAGGTTTGTTTTAAGACCAGCTCCCAGAATAAACATTCTTAGGTGATGAAACATGCAATCAAATGAGGATATTTTGCAATATATTGTGATGACATTGGTGCTTGAACTAACAGAGTATAGGTCTATCATGCTGATGGATCTAACAATTACAACTATAAAGCATGTCTTCAGCTCCCTGACAACTTGAACATGACTAGGTACTTCAGAATACATGAATGACAAATAGGTGGGAGATAATCATCCCAATTTTATTAACCTATGCTATTTTTCTTTCTTACTTCAAAGACTATTTGAAGATCATGTGACACTCAAAACTTCTAAAGCACAAGTAGGCTGTTGATGGTGAAATGAGGCTAGGATTATTGCATTTTGTTGAATCAAGCTTAATTTAACAATGCTGAAAAATACACATAATCAACAATATCTAGCTCATGTTGTTAAGCTATCACAATTTGCCAAAAATTTCCTCAAAATAAACATAGCATATACATAGCATAACACAGCATAGCAAACTGTGCTAACTGCTAAAGTTATGGTGCAGCATTAGGCAATCAATGCCAGCCATTATGTTTTAACACCCAAATGTTTAGTCTTAAAACTAATTATCATGGTTTGAGATGAAGTATAACATAGCAGCATACAGTTGGTGCACAAAAAAGATCATCCTTACACTGTGATGTTGCCAGAACCACGGATAACAACCGGCTCTGGTAAAAGGCTGGCACTGGCAAGATCTGATGAGCCATCTGCCTGGTCATCTGAAGCTTCATATATCTCATCAAAATCAGACATTTCTTGCAGCAAACTCAATATTAACTAACAATTCACAAAGGCCTGTTTCCAATGCTCCGATGTTGGTAGTTCAATGGATAATTGCAATTTCAAAAAGATACGAGGTCAAACACTTCTTGATCTCACAAGTTTCAGTTCTGAACTCCTAAGAATGCAGCACATAGACTGAGAATCGCAAAAGTGAAAGCCCAAAACCATTTCCATTGGTGACAAAGGGCAAATGCCAAATGGTAGCTTTGATATAGACTGAACACTAATGCAATTAGGCAGCTTCTTCAAGTCGAGAAGGGTATGAAACTAGTCTTGTTTGATAAATCCGCTTAACGGTCACCAGAACCAGGCAGTAGGGCTCTCCATCCTAACAAAGAAATTGGCTTTATCTATACACGCGTTTTGCAAAAACAACTATTCGTGTGTTCCATTTTCATTCACTTGTTTCCCTGCGCCATATTCGTCCTACTTTGTTTTTTCTGTCAGTGTATTATGACGCTTTATATCATTATTTTTTCAAATCACCTTGATGTTTTTCATAATGTTATGTATTGAATACAAATAACACTAGAAAATATATTTTTAAATTAAATAGTATCGATTATTTGTAGGAAAAAGTGAAAGAAGTATAATGACATTTTATGACATCATCAAAATTGATAAATTTGTTAACATGATTTCAGGCTAGTACTCTTGTATTTGTCTCTAAACGAAATAAACAAAATGTTTTCAAGTCAGGCATAGTACACGCTGGTATATTTTATGTTGTCATTGGTAATTTTTTGAGTGTCTACATTACCATCGAAATAGCACAAGGTGAGTGTGCTTTAAAAATAGTAGTGCTCATGCTGCAAAAATTTGTTCAATACCTATCAGTCTTGGCGCTACCCAAGGCCCTATGGCGCTACCTATATGATAGCCAACAAAAAATTACTCCTATGGCTGCTTAAACTTACTAAAAGAAATAAGATTTATTACATAGAATGTGCACTTATTGTAGCCAGTGTTTCATTTCTTGACCTGAGGCCAGTTTTACCAGAAGAAAAATGGTCGCCTGCTGGAACTTTTTGTCTTGACCGCTTCACATACGGAGCGTAAATGTGATGGGCACGTAAGCTGAAAGGGCTTTACCGTTTCACTCTGTATGTGAATTGTGAAGCAGTCTCAAGGCAAAAAATTCCAGCAGGCGACTATTTTTCTGTTGGTAAAACTGGCATCTGTATAATTTTTAGTTATCATGAGTGTAGGTAAGCTGCCTCAGGCTGCCCTCACTGCATCAGTGCTGCTCTCATCATCTCTGCACTTCATCATCTTGAAGTGCAGCATCCCAATTCCACATCACAAACTCACATCCCATCAAGCATATGAGATGGCAGCCCTATGTGTCCTGCCCACTTCAACCCACAAGCTATGGCTGGTTTTTGATCAGACATGAATACTTTTCAACTGATCTTGTTGGATTTTTTTTTCATAGATGAATTATATGGATTAGGCCATTTTGCATTATATTCTACCCTATTTACTCCTCTGTGTCACTGTCTGATATCATCTGATCATGTGCCTACACTTGTTTTCCAGCTGTTTTTTTAACAAAACCATAAAATATATCATGAAAATAAGATGACAATAATCAAAGCAAAAATACCAATTTAAAATACATTCACTTTTGACACAACTTAAAGACTGGGCCCCATATCATTGTATGAAAACTTCTAAGCCAGTGGAATACTCCTTCACTGCACATACAGTGTACCTACCAAACTCACATTTATTTCCTTCATGCATCTGATTGTGCTTAATCTGTGCTGAGTTCAATTGTGTGCTGTAGGCTGAAACTATTGATGAGGATGGCTGTGTGCTGTAGGCTGGGGCCACTGCTGAGTGTGATGAACTGCATATTATGTCTTACATGCTGTGTCCTGTAGGCTGTAGGCCATGAGAGCTGAGTGTGGCTGTGTACTGTAGGCTAAGGCCATGAGGAGGTACTGAGTGTGACTGTGCGTGCTGTAGGCCAGCAATGAGTGTGACTGTGTGCTGTAGGCTGATGCCAATACTGTGTGTGACTGTGTGCTATAGCCAATACTGTGTGTGACTGTTTACCTAGGTTGAAGCCAGTGCTGAGTGTGACTATGTGTGTGCTGTAGGAAAGGCTGAGTATGATTGTGTGCTGTAGGCTGAGGCCAGTAGGTACTGAGTGTGACTATAACTGACTGTGCTGTTGGTCAGTGTAACTGAGTGTGACTGTGTGCACTGTATACCAGTGCTGAGTGTGATGGTGTGTGTTTGCTGTAGGAAAGGCTGAATATGATTGTGTGCTGTAGGCTGATGCCAGTGCTGAGTGTGACTGTGAGCTGTAGGCTGTAGGCCAGTACTGAGTGTGACTGTGAGCTGTAGGCTGAGGCCAGTACTGAGTGTGACTGTGAGCTGTAGGCTGTTAGGCTGTAGGCCAGTACTGAGTGTGACTACAACTGACTCTGCTGTTGGTCAGTGTAAATGAGTGTGACTGTGTGCACTGTAGACCAGTGCTGAGTGTGGCTGTACGTGCTTTTGACCATTACTGTGTATGCCTGTGTGTTGTAGGCCAGTACTGAGTGTAACTGTGTGCTGAAGGCTGAGGCCAGTACTGAGTGTGACTGTGTCATGTGTGTGCTGTAGGCCAATACTGAGTGTGACTGTGTGTGTGCTGTAGGCCAGTACTGAGTGTGACTGTGTGCTGTGGCTGAGGTCAGTGCTGAGTGTGACTGTGTGTGTGTGCTGTAGGCCAGTACTGAGTGTGACTGTGTACTGTACCCTATCAGCGCCGTCTCTCACGGATCCGCCGTCGGCAGGACGCTCCGAGGCGGCGGCAGCGGCGGACTCGGATGGGTCACAGCTGCCGGCGGAGACGCAGCGGCCGCCGGCCTCGCCCGGCGCCGACCCCGAACCCGACTTCATCTGCGGCGACCTGCCGGCGATGACGATGGTAGGTGACGCGACGAGCCATTAAAGGAAGGGTGCCACCTTTTGGACACAACGCAGTTTTTACAAGATTAGCCTCACATGAACCTAAAAACCGGCTTCACTTACCTATGCTCGAGACGGTCAGCATTGAATCCGCACGTGAAGTTATCATTTGCGAGTTTTGCTGCCAGCATTCGGGCAGGCAAAAATCTTCAGCACTATTTCCTCGTCGTGTTAAGGGTATTTTATAAAACATGAAATCATCAAAGGTATGTATAAAAGTTATACTTTTGAAGCATGTTTTATCATTTTGAAAGGGTATATTTTTTCTTTATGGTATACACTTAAGTTTTAAAATTTTAATTGGGAAGTTTTTCTAGTAAGTTGCATGAAGGGTGAAGGGTTCCATAGATCTCTTAAGCATTGTAAAGGAAAAACCTTTACTCGACTCGACCGTCATTACCAATTAGGTGGCAAATATGGCCAACAGTTACCTACTTGGTTACCTACAACTTAGTTCAAATCATGTTATCTTCTTCCTTTTTATTTGTTCATCTTTTTGTCTCAGTTGCGCCATCAATGCAAATGGCAGAATGATATGTTGCCATGACAACAGGATATGCCAGCCGTCCTAGCTGCCACATCAAACGACCTTGAGTTGTAGTGGTGATATAAACAACGATCTTTTTTTTGGCCAATGTATCAAATGCAATGTTTCGGTTTTTTGTATATTGTGGACGCGCTAACCACGTCTAAAAATTCAAATAAGTAAAATAGATTCATAGAACAAAAATTTCGGAAGGTGGCACCCTTCCTTTAACCGCACAGGCCACTGACCCCTGCCTCAGTCCCAGCTTCTTTACCCCTGTCCCTGTCTGCTTCTTTCATCTGTCCCGGTACCGTTCCTGAGCCCCGTTTCACCCCCTTGCCAATATCGTGTCAGATTTTCACTAAATCTTGTTATGCATATTATACTTTGTTTACAAATGTGATACAAAACGGTAGCCTAACAGGTCAACAGCAGTTTATCATGGCCCGTAGCAGTCGGTTTCATTGCACGCTACGATACCGATTACCGAACATGCCACAAGCGCATGTTTTCAGCTTCAGCACAATGATAGCTGTTCCTAATTCTGAGTATCCATTTCATTTTGCTAGAAACTGTATCAGCGATCGTAGACGCAACTTTGACTTAGTGATACCAATGAGAACGGCCGTTTCCCTGGGTAGGCTCGGTCTAGGTGGCGCTGTGGTTGGATTGCAAGTGCACGGGTAACGGAGGGCTCTGCCGTGCCTTTTTACCGACGCCGACCACGCTGCTCGGAGCTACCTATAGAGCACCGATTGATTCGAGGCAACCAAGTCTATGCGAAGTCGTTTGTTCATGGCCCTTAAAAAAGATGAACCAATTTACAGATTCGTTAAAATTTTGCAATCGCATGTCCAATGCAGACTCAGCAATCCACATTGCTAATGGCTGAGATACTTAGAAGTGAGGTAGTCACACTGCATGTCATTCGAAAGCCGAGTCATGCTCCTAAGTCTTTAAATGGTCGCTGAGTTAGCTGGAAGAATCAGCGTTTGGTGTATTACAGGGTGTCTCAAAAGTTCGTTCACAGGTACCAGCCATGCTTTTTTGTCAATAATTCTGAATCAACAAGAAATTAACGGTCGAAATTTTGCATGGGCATTGGTGACAACCTTCCTCAAGCAGTCCCATTGTTTTCAAGTGCATTCGACCCTTCATGAGCTCACAAAAAGGGTTCACCTCTGACCATGGGTCAGGCACGAAAATGTAGGTTGCAAAGTCGGGTATGTTGTGCAACTTTCTGTTTCAGGAGTAATGGGAATGGTTAAGTCGGAAATGACACATGGCTAAGTGTCGGCGAGGATGAGTGCAACATGATGATCATCTCATAAAAACGGTGGCTAAAATTTTTGAAGGACGAAACCATGCGAGACTAACGGCGTTTTGAACGACCCTCGCACGACAGCAGACTCGTGTTCCGGAAAGCAGCTGAAAATGCGGTCATAACTATTGAAAACTGGCAAGGTCACAGACAGAGGTTACCCATTTTCAAAAAGTGCAGGTCATCGTAAAATAAAGACAAATTATAATTAAAAATTGTTTATAATATCTATAACGCTAATTTTTGGGGACAATAACACAAAAATCGTCAATGCCAAGGACACCTGACCCTCCAAAAGTGTCAGTTATTGTAAAATTTTATCTAACGAAGTTTCAAGAGGCAGATCTGCAGCGAATAATTTTCTTTTAAACACAAAAGCCCGATAAAACCACACGATGGATAGGTTTGGGCCGTTTACAAAGCAGAACATCTCCCGAGGAAAACACTCCGCAACCGAGCGAAGGTCTTGGCATGGGGAATGACGAGCGCTTGGAATTTGCAAAATTTGCACAATGTGTCTGAGAAACAGACGTCCGACACATTCTGCTACCATATGATGCGAAAAATTTACTCCTGGTACTTCCCGTTTGTTCAGGACTGGG